CTCTCTAAAAACGGGGGTTGTTTACAAATAAGCGCTGTTTACAAATTGCGATATAAAAAAGCCAAAATGCCGCCACTCGTCTATATCTATAAATTCCGATCTACCTACGCCCTACCCCTCGATCCGCGTAGATTCTGAATTGCGTAGCAGTGTACAGGGTGCATCTCACTCGACGGGCGAGAAGCTCTTCGTTATGATTTTACCATTTGCGGTCAAAAAATAGCAATATAAGAAAATGTGTAGTATATTCTTCATAAGTAAACCAACTACACACTAGAGTTCGAATTAATTTTACACTTAAACTAGCATGTACAGTTTGACAAATATAGGAAGAGACTTGGGGATAGCACCGGTCGCGCACACGATAGAGAGAGAACGCATTCGGCGGAAGAGAGATGCAGTTACGCTACGAAAAATCTGATTGAAGCAAATTTGTGGGATGTCCACTGCGCATCGGGGGGCGTCTCTTATTTTATATTTCTCACGTCTCTAGCTATACTTGTTAAGTTGTACCCGCGACTTCGTTCGCATCGAATTATTAATTTGTAATGGTGATGATAAAGCAAAGCAAGAATTTCCATTAACATACAAACTGGATAAAATTTTCTCACATTTGCCAAAAATATGCTTTAAACGTCGAGCAGTTTAAGCAGAATCGTGGTTAATCAATTACTCAACTTTTTGGAACACCCTGTATTATTTTTTAAAAAATTTCAAAATATGTAAAAAAACAAAATAAATTATGCGTGTCCAATCGTTTTCCCGAAAGACTAACCGTTTTTTAAATAATAAATATTGTAATATTTGAGGGGCGTTTTCACCCTCTTGGAATTTGAGATTCGAGAAACCCCTCCTTATCGCACCTCTACACCCCACAGTCAATCCGTTTACCAAAAATCAGCTTTAAACGTCAAGCAGTTTAAGCAGAATAGTGATTACTCAGTGGTCATATTTTATGAAACACCCTGTATATATTTTGTAAAAATCTCAAAATATGTAAAACAACAAAATAAAATATACGTGTTTAAGAGTTTTTTCGAAAAACTCACCAGTTTTTAAATAAAAAATATTCTAATATTTGAGGGTGGTTTCACCCCCTTAGAATTTGAGTTTCGAAAAATCCCTTCTTATCGCACCTCTACACCCTAAAGTCAATCCGTTTTCCAAAAATCAGCTTTTTACGTCAAGGGCTTTAAGCAGGATCGTGATTAATCAATGACCAGATTTTTCAAAACACCCTGTATACATTTTTAAAAAATCTTAAAATATTATTCTGAAAATTTTTCAGAATAAATAAATACTTAAATATTGAAACTTAATAACAAAGTATTGAAACATACAGCGCCATAATATCTCGACCTCCGCCCGTTATGCTCGTAACAGGTTGAAAAACAATATGTATCTAAAACAACTGATGCGTTATTCTCCAACCTGTTTCAAACCTCCGATTATCTCGAACGCCGTTCTGTTATGCTCGTAACAGGTAAAAAAACAACATAGCTAAAACAACTGATGCGTTATTCTCCAACCCGTTGCGAGCCTCCATCGACAATCGACCGATGCAGCAGCGCTCCTTTCCCACTCCTGTTATCTCGACAGCCAGGCGTTATGCCCGCAACTGTTTCAAAAAAGCTGCTTCTTTTATATCCTATTATTTTTAAGCTGTTGTCAGCCCAACACGACGCGCCGCGCCGTAGCGCATACCCCACTCCGTTGTCCGTTGTATCTCGCCGCCTGTATCGATGGTTGTCGAAATAATAGGTTTTCCATCCATACTAGTTGTTTTTTGGAATTGCTTCGAGCAGCATCGAATTTCGTGGCGGTGCAGAGCGCCGACTTCGTTTCACGAACACTCGATCTCTGCGTGTCGTTATTTTATATCTGTTATTTTTTAAAAGCAGTAACGGTTGCGTTATGTTATTTCTAAATAATTGTTATAAAATAACAGATAGTTAAATAACAACCCATCACTACCTTGTAGTACGTGTCGCACGTGTGCGGTAAAGCTTTGTTGCCGCTATCTCCCCGGCTTTATTAACGCATTTTCTTAGCTTGTAGTCCTTAAGTGTTTATTTTATTGACTTTTTCTGTTCAAAAACTATAAAATATGGTTCGCCAGTGCCAAATTTGCAAGAAATTTGACTTAAATAATCCATTTAAGTCTTGAAACGACTTTTGACCGGTAGGCAACTCTCAATTTACCCATTGGGAGTCAGTGGCGTTGTTGTAGAAAGGCGCTTATTTAGATAATATTTTAGTAAAATGTAAAATCTGAATTTTTTCTCTTACATTACATTATTTACTTACTTACATTGTAACAAAATCATAATTATAACCCTGTTAATAATTAATAATGTTTTTATTAAAAATATATTCCGGTTTATTCTAAAATTATCTTCAGAATCTAAAATAACAGACAAGAATTTTAAAATAATATTACATTATGAAACAATATTTTTTAATATACCGGGTCGTCTCAAAAGTGGCTCAACCCTATAACTTTCTTTATTTTTTCAGATAAAAAAACAGATTTGTAGGTTAGTAGGTATATGACATAAATTAGGATTTATTGACGTATTCAATTGTTTTTGGTCTCTTCCTGTTTTACCGAAATGATTACATCTTTTTATTTTTAAAGGCACCCTCGGTATATTGCTACTTTATTCGATAAAAAATGACACTCTGAATAGAATGACAATCATATGTCAACTTTTGACATTGTCGCTTAAAAACATATCCTATTTTAAATTTCAATCAGTTTTTTTCAATCCACTAAGTTTTAATCAAGGAGCCTTGGAAAAATAGTTTTGATTGTCTAATAGGTTTCGTGTCTTGTCTAGGCCGGTTAAAAGATGTACAAATCGTATTTTTAATCATACATATGTCAATTTTTTCAAATGGAACAAGGGTGACTCATTAGCATATTTGGAAAAAGCATTTTTTTATGAATATATTGATACCACACACTTGGTATTTCGAGTCAAATTGTCGTTATGAACCGCGTGTTACAATTACAATTAAACCATATGCGAAAATGTCAAAAGTTGACATATGATATTTCATTCTATTCAGAGTGTCATTTTCTATCGAATAAAGTAGAAATATACCGAGGGTGCCGTTTAAAAATTAAAAGTTATAGTCATTTCCGGTGACACAGGAAGTGACCAAAAACAATTGAATGCGTCAATCAATCCTAATTTATTTCATATACTAACATACTAAATCTTGTTTTTTTATTTGAAAATATAAAAAAATTATGGGGATGAGCCACTTTTGAGCCGCACCCGGTATAATAAAGACAGTACCGAGTTAAATAAATGTAGTTTTTATTTTATCCACTTCCTATCACCTTCCTTGCTTTAATGGAACAGATTTATGTTTTCTCTAATTTACATAATAAGACATCACTTAACTAGAAAAAAAATTACAACAATCATTTTTTTTTCTCTCCCTGTCGCCGATTCTATTATATCTGTGGAATAGATCCGGTTTTGATTAATATTAGGGGTTGTAAATGTTTGACTAAAATTAATAATTTATTATTAATTTCAAAAATTACGTAATTTCGATTATAAAATTTCTTCTATAACGTGTATTTTATTATGTTTATCCTTTTCGGACTCTAAGACGTTTTTTCTAAACTTTTATGTAAAAAACCTGTCCTAAATCTTAATAAAATATAAAAACGTTTAAATACGATATATTTTTAATTTACTTATAGCTTCATTAAAATAAAAAAATTACCCGGCTATGATACGGAGAGTTCAGGTGTACTTGAGAAACGAAAGACAGTGTTGTGTTTCTCGGCAGAGTCGTCAGGGAACGACCGTTACGACAGAGACAACCTATCTATAGCTCGTGTCGCACTCGTTATAACCTAAAACAATAACACAACAATAACAAGACAGTGTCTGACCGCATGTTCCAGCTATTTATGAATGAGATGCTCAGTCTATATTTTATTTTAAGTCTATGTATACAATAGATTTAGGTAAACATTTTTACTCATTTTGGATGTAAAAATTTACTTTACTTTCTTTAATTTATACATATTTACAACTTTTCGAAATCATCAATACTTAAGTAAATCACTTTCCTCTCTAATTCTTATGGGAATTGTTCCTTTTTGCCATTTGAGGCAAACACTGATTTATATTGCTTTACCTTTTTAAACTCCCTCACTTTTTTAAATAGTATCTGGTTCTTCTGTGTCAAATCGTCGTTAAAATATATATTTTTTCTGCCTCCATCCAAGCCACATTCACTTATTTTAATTCCTTTTAATTCCCTTATTCTTTTTATAATTTTTTCTTTAATGGTATAAGTTTTACATTTCACAATTATCAGTGCATTTTCGTTTTTGTTGATTGGATATACATCCACAATGTCTTCTTCAGTTAGTTCGACTTTCATGGTTTGAAAGACTTTTTCGATTGATATTCTAGGCTCATTGTTTTGTTTTGGTATACCCACTACGACCAAATTATTTTCTTTTTCCTTTTGTTCTATTGTGTTCATTTTGCGTTCCAACAGATTTACTCTTTGCTGCAGAAGTGCCTTTTCATCTCTCAGTTTTTTAATTTCGGCCAACATTTCGTCCATTTTGTTCCTTTGTTCCTCAAATTTATCTGACATATATTGCACAGAATTCTTAATTTCGTTCACTTCTTGCTGCATAGATTGTTTGAAGGGACTAAAAAATTCCTTAAACAAATCCCTCACAATACTTTTTAGTTTTCTCTCATCCATTTTGTCGGCCTTAACCTTACTTTCCTCACGTTTCTCGCAACAAATTACTATTACTATAATTACTATATACTATTTAATAATAATGATAATGAAGAATAAAAAAATAACAAAAAGTCAAAGTTTTTGAAAATCGAATAGTATTTTTAAAGAAAATTATTCTATTTCTTCACAAGCATAAGCTTCTGAAGGAAAGAAATAATATCTTTTAAAAATATATCATTTTTATCTTTTACACTTAAAATTATACTTACATCTTGTGTTCTTGTTCCCTTGAAAATGCACATATTACAGACACTTTATTAACCCATTTTTCTACATCGTCTTTTATAATAAAATCCTTATCTTTATACCTGGATCCGTAAAATAATATCAGATTTTCTGGACTACATTCTCCAGCGGTCATTTCATATATGTAACTCCTAAATGGTGCCACGCCAGTACCAGGACCTACCAAAATTACAGGAACACTCTATAATAAAGAAAATATATTAAATATTACTAATTATTTATTTAACATAAATCAGACTTACTAACCAGATCCTTGGGAAATTTAAAGAAACCTGGCTTTAACCATACCGAAATCCTGTCACCAGATATCAAATCAGACAAAAAATTGGAACATAAACCAAATCTCTCTTTGATCAAATTTGTTTTATACTTGACTACGGCTACCAGAAGATGGAGCTCATGTTTATGAACTTTAAAGCTACTTGCAATGGAGAATTCCCTGGGTTTTATAGATGGAATTATTTCAAACAAAGTTTCCAGTGTTATATTTTTGGTGGCATGCGGAAAATCCCTCAAAACTTCAACGATATTCCGTTTGGGACGATTTGTATAGGAATACATCTCTTCTTGTCCTTCGGCGGAGGTGAATTCCAAACATTTTTCTCTTTCTAACTCACTATCTGTTATCTGAGAAAGGACTTGAAATACAGTTCTTCTGGGTATTGAAAACAAATCAAAATATTCTTCACACAGTTGCTGAAAAGTAACTTCGGCTTTTAATACTTCAGGAACAGGTACTTTCTGATTGTTCTCGATTAATTTGATTATAGTGTGATCAGGTATATCAACGCCATTCTCTTCTAATACGCTTTTAAATTCATTTATTTTCCACACAAGATTTCTTGGCCTTAGTACTAGTAGATCCCCAGGCTTATATTCTTGAAAATCACATTGAAATTTAATAAGTCTGACATCCTGCAAGAAATACTTGTATGAATATAAATATACAGGGTGGCTAACCTCATTCGCCTCGGTTGATTATACGAAAACGGAAAGATGTAGAAACAAAATATTTTATGGGTATATGTGGGGAGACATTGTGCACAATTTAAAATTATTTTGAAATATACAGGGTGTTTCAGAACTAAGATCCATACCAAAGTTATATTTTTTCTTATGGAACACCCGGTATTTTATTTCATTTTTGGATTCTTGCGCCCAAAAAAGGTTTTTATTATAAGGGTTAAATATGTTTAAAATCTTTGGTTTTTGAGATATTTAAAGATATTTAAATGTGCATGCTACAATAGAATAGATTATTAACAACCTGTACATTACTTTTCAGAATTAATTCTTATGCTGAGTTTAAAGGTAGAGATATAAACTTTACTGGAAAATGATATTGCTTCCTTAAATTTATACAGGGCTGTCAAAAGTTGCTATCTATTTTAAGGATATATTTTGTATAAAAACTCCGTTATTTTAAATGCAACACCTTGTATTATTTAAAATAAATCGAAGCAGATTCAAATGCTCAAAACCTATCTAGCTCAGATTTTGAATAAAAAGCGATTTTTAAATAAAATTGCTATCAAGATGGCTGGTGTCGCCATGGCAATTTTCTAGTAACAGTTAGTAACTATTTTCGAAGTCGACATTAGTTTATGGACATTGTTATTTATAATTTATAACAGTTTACTTAAATTTACCTACAATAGTTTAGTAAGTAAGTATAGTAAACGCCACGAATGTTTGGGAGTGATTTATCGGTCGCTATCTTTGAATAAGAAGACTAAGGAAGGAGCATAATGCTATCCATGTATTCATGCATGGTGGGCGGAAAAGCCACCATAAAAGCTCTCTAGGGTGGGGATCCTTGACAGTTCTGTTTGACGATTCATTTGACACATTTGAATTTGATTTGAAATTTTGTGGATTTGTCAGTCTTTACGGAGCTTATTTTATGTTATTTATTATTTATTCTACTACTGATAGTTGTATAAAGGTAGTAAATCTAGATGGAAATTGTGGCAGAACTTAAATTAACAGTGACACTATCGCGATTTATCGAAAGACTCTAAAATAGTTGGTTGTGTAGCGTGCGGTAGATCTCGGCAAAAAATGAGTGAAATAATGGAACAACTTTTCGCTAGTAAGTGACTATATAATATACATACGTGTAGTAAACCGATCATTTATGAAATTCACTTAAATTAACTAAATTATATATTTTCTTGCATTTTAGCTTTTATTTACTACTTGTCAAAAATTAGATGTCAAAGAATTTAGATACGTTAATTTGACTTACCTGCTTCAGTAGCGTATCGGATGTTTGTGTTAATAAATACTTATTATAACTTATCGATTTTTATTAGAATTATATATTTTTATAACAATTTTAATAACTACCAACATTTATTCACAACGTAAAAAAAAACAACAAATTATTGAGTCTACCCCACGTCTACCTTACATCATAGTTTTACATTTTTTAAATAAAATTAGAACGACACTGATAAACCGGAATTTAAGTCGGCCATATTTGAGGCCCATCGCGGTGTACCTAAGATTTTTGATATGCTCCTTCCTTAGTCTTCTTATTCAAAGGTCGCTATCATGTGAACTAATCGGTTCAAGGTACATAAAACTTAATTCCAGTGCCGTGGTATTTCAAGTCATATAATAATCAATATATAATCTATTGTAATTTGTTGTTTTAACTGTCAAAGTCTTGTCAAAACATATATTTGGTTATAAATATAAAATGGAATGCCCCATTGGTCGCACTGCAAGCACACCAATGGACTGACGCACAAAAACGAATCAATCAAAGAAACGCGATATAGTATCGTCTTTGTCAATCTCGCTAACATTTTAGAATAAGTAGGAGGAGCGCAGGCAGATGATTAGACCGGGCCTTTAAAAACCTACGTCTGCGGTAAAAATTTACGTTTTTAATGTAAAAATGATAGCGCGCGTGTCGATTCTAACTTCATCAAGCGATGAATCACTCCCAAACATTCGTGGCGTTTACTATATTCATTATTTTATCAAGAAAAATAAAGCAGTATCTGCTGGCGCAACGAATGGATGTGTTACTAGTGATTTTATTTTGTGAGGAAAATTTCTTCTTGGCCTCAAGGGCTTATGCCCAAAGATATCCAAATAGGAAACTATATACTTGTCCTATTTCGCAGAGCTGGTAGTGTGGTTTATAAAAAAAAACTATTTGGCAGAAACCTGTCGTTAGGAGTGAAGAAAATGAATTTGCCGTAATTGGCTCTTTTATAGAAAATCCATATATCTACAAGTCATCGTAAAATAAATCAAAGAATTACTTCTTCGTTTTTCTTGATAGAATAATGAATACATATTTAATAAATATTATTTATTAAACTATTGTAGGTAAATTAAATAAAAGTAAACTGGTATAAATTTAAATAAGTCCATAAACTAAGTTCGATTTTGAAAATAGCTACTAACTGTCACTAGAAACAAACATCTTGGTTGCCATTTTTTTGAAAAATTGCTCTTTATTCAAAATCTGAACTAGATAGGTATAGGAAACCCTAATATAGTTTGAAAGAGCAATTGAATCTGCTTCGATTTATTTAAAAAAATACAGGGCGTTGTATTTGAAATAATGAAGTTTTTATGTAAAATATATATTTAAAATAAACCAGCAATTTTGGATACCCCTGTATAAATTTAAGGAAGCAATAACATGTTTCCGTAAAGTTTATTTCTCTACCTTTAAACTCAGCACAACAATTAATTCTGAAAAGTAATGTACAGGGTGTTAATAATCTATTCTATTGTAGCATGCAAATTTTAATATCTTTAAATATCACAAAAACCAAGGATTTTAGACATATTTAACCCTTATAATAAATGCCTTTTTTGGGCTCAAGAATCCCAAAATGAAATAAAATACCGGGTGTTCCATAAGAAAAAATATAACTTTGGTATGAATCTTAGTTCTGAAACATCCTGTATGTTACAAGATAATTTTAAATTGTGCACATTGCCTCTCCACATATACCCATAAAATATTTTGCTTCTACATCTTTCCGGTTTACTTCCGAGGCGAATAAGGTGCGCCACCCTGTATATATACATAATAATAATAATAATAATAATAATAGAAACATCAAGAACATAAAAACACAACTTATATAAAATTAAATTTTGAGGTACTTTGTATTTTATATGATGTCCCATTTTTGTGTGTTGTACAAGGTTACTCCTTTATGAACAGATATACAAGTTCAAAAGGAAATTCCGCTGTTAAAAATTTATCATAAAAATATATAAAAACTCTGACTAAATCTTTTAAAAGAGCCTTTTTTAATGACTTATGTCTTTTTAAATTCCGGATAAAGACTTAAATTACAAATCATTTTGAAAGTGACTTAAACTTTAAGTCAGCTTTCGAAATATGACTTGAAATCAAATGACGTCATTAAAATGTTTTAAATCAAAAAAAGACTTACGTTCCCTGTGAGCTTGTAGCTCTGCATTAATGCATGATTTTTGTATTTTACTGATTTCTTTAAGAAAAAAAGTCAACTGACCATCATAATTATACATATCCATAATGAAATATGTTATAATGAAAAAATTTTAAGAAAAATAAATATTCAAAAAATACAATTTATGCAAATATAAATTATTTTTGTCAATTTTTTTAAAAAATATTGGTACTATATTGTCCAGTAAATAAGGACACGAAAATCTGTAAAATTAGTGAAATGGCGCTTATCATGTTTTTCCCCTGGACCCTTCAATTTAATTCGATGTTTATTTAATTCTTAATTATTTTACTCTTGTAAAAAAGCACCTAGTTTGAAATAGAATTTTGTTTGTTTTTCCCACAGTAAATAAAAAATGCTTACCTGAAAATGATGTAAGTCTGTTTGCCGCACATTATCTAGAACAACTGTACAAAATTCATTATTTGCTCTTGTGGAATAATATAAAGAATGATTTTTATTTATATTATTAATTTTTAATAATTTACCATCTTTTTCAATATTCCATCTAAAATTTAATTCGATATATTTATCATATTAAACACTTTAATGTGAAAATACTACCTAGGTAATATAGGTAAATTCTTTGGAAGGGGCTCAATGCCATGCGGTAAAGGATAAGTTTCTGTTAATTTCAACCACAAATTCTCTATCCATGGATCTGCTATGGCATCGTAACCAAGATCATGTTGATCATCAGCTAACCCAATAGGCAAGATAGGTTCTCCTCCTAGGTTCAGAATACGTTTATAGAGTCTTTTAGCAACAAAATTAAACTTTGTGTAACTAGAATCGCCAAGACCAAGTATAGCAAACCTAAATATATATACGAATAAGAGAAGATTTAGATCATGTATAATTATAATACAAATGTCATAAAATTCACAATACCCTACACATAAGAATGAACAATATTTTACAATAAGATATTTACAACTACTTAAAAAAAGCTGTCTATTTTTTGTAACTGTTTCGGAATGTCTTAAAAGAGATTCAAGATAAAATAATAATAAATTTTTATAAATATCATATTTACTGAATTATAGGTCAAGAACCTTTGATAACTTTTATATTTTAATTAATACACTTTGTAAGAATAATTTATAGGGCATTGTCTAGCACAGTGATAAGATACTTTAAATTATTCATACCTTACATCACTTAATAAATCTGAGGGCAAACTCCTTCGTAACAACAATTTCCAAAACTTCTTCATATTTTCTGGTTCGTCTCCTTGACCTGTGGTCGAACAAACAATTATCAAACAGTTTTCTTGAGCTATCTGGGAAACATCGTACTCGTTCAAGGTTGAAACACTACTCTGAAAATAAAATCGTTTCGATTCTCGCCAAATTCTTTCTGCCAAGTCTTGAGCATTTCCAGTTTGAGAGCCATATAAAATTGTGATTTTTTTGTTTAAAAAAAACATATTGCGTAATTTCTCGCACGTAACATAACTTACAGTATTTGTCTATCCGAGTTTTTAAAGAAACTTTGCTAAATAGTAGTATTTCGTCAAATAAGATATTTTTTGAAAACTCTCATTTTAAGGTTAAATCGCATTGACATTGACACATTTATCTCCAATGTAGCCAACTATTCCAACTTTATTTTCCAACTAAAATTAATTCCCTAGTGAGTTTTCCATTGTTGTCAGGTCTAGGCAAATTTCCCTAGATTGAGAAGAGAAAAAGGCACATATACGCATAGCTTGGTCAAAGTTTACAGAATAAAATGCTTGGTGCATTTCAATTGAGTTTAAAAATTCTGATCGCAGCGCTCGATACGGCAGTAATTAGAAGTGCCTGACTAAAGAGTGAAGACAAAATTAATCAGTCTTTAAATCAATATTTTTTAATAATAGTAATATTTTTAAATTAGAGTCTGTCCAACCGGGAAGACCCCTTACATTGACAGTTGTGTCTGTTATTTTAATTCACAAGCAAATTGTATTATCTGTCATATTTTGGATGTCGTCTGTCGAAATCTTTCCCGGCTCGTTGGACAGACTATACCTCTTATATTTACTTAGGATATATCTGCTCTTTGTTAGAAATATATAGCGAAGTCTTGAGTAAAGTTCTAAATTTTGAATAATAAAATTAAGACAGGAGTTATACCATACCTCTTATATGTATAGCATGAATCACAGAATCGCCATTTTTGACCGTTCTGTTTGACCTTTCAATTGACACATTTGAATTTGATTTGAAATTTTACGGATTTGTTGGGCTTTTTTGCACTTATTTTGTTATTTATTATTTATTCTATAATTTGTTTTGTCCAGAGGTAGTAAATATAGAAGACTATTGTGTGTCAGAACTTAAATTAACAGTAATATTTATGGCAAATCACTGAAAAAGACTAAAATAGTGACTTGTGCAGTCCCCACGTACAGAAGATGACCAAAAATAGAGGAAATAATTCTTCACTGGTAAGAAACTATAGTCTGTCTAACGGGAGAATCCCTGGCAAATGACAGTTTTGTCTCTCATTTTAATTTACAGGCAAATTGTATTTTCTGTCATTTTTTGGATGTTCTCTGTCGAAATCTTTCTGTGGACAGACTATACCGACCTGGCCATTTTAGAAGTGTAGTCTAGATTTTAACGTGTAAGACAGTAGGTAGTAGATGTAGGCAGCTTAATGACAAATCAAATGTATTAAAGAGAGAACAAAGTTGGGTTGATACATTTCTTCTACGCGGTATTGCCGGATTTTGCATCAAAATTTCAAACCGCACGTTTCACAAGTAAGCGTTTCCGAAAAATGTTGCATCTAGGGTTGGAAGTTTATTTTTCACAATTAGTTACTCATTTTACTACAGCTGTAATGGATTATATTTAGCTTTTATTTTATCTTAATTTCAGTATTATACATAAAAGTTTTTAAAATAATTTATTTTCTTCTAACCACATTTTCCGGCAAACGTAAAAACCGGCAACACTGCAAGCCGGTTTTTATTTTGTCTCTCTGTCTGTTAACCGGACATTTATATTATTCTCCGTCACACTTCACACTTTTAAATCCAGACCACACTTCTAAAATGACCAGGTCGGTATATAATACTAGAACATTTGTATTTTTTGAATTGAGAAGTAAAAATACACTTCTCTTTAACAAAATTAATAAATCAAATACAGAGTGAGTCTTAAATAAGTGCAAATACTTTTAGTAGTAGTATATTTCGACCCCAGAAACACGATTATGAGGTTTTTTCGTGAAAAAAATTAAAATTAGGAATTTTTTGAAAAAAAAATTTGGAAATTTTTTTTAGTTTTCAGTTAAAAACATTATTTGTTGATAATATGACAACATAGACGGTAGATTAAATTTACAAGAAAGAAATCCAGAAAAGATCCAGTGGTTCTCAAAATTTTGGCAAAATATATTTTGGAAAATTTTCAAAGTAAAATAACTCCGTTATTTTGGATTTATTTGAAAAACGGTAAAGAGAAATTATGTTTCTTTTATCGAGATCTACCAGCCCTGAAAATATTTGCACTTATTTAAGACTCGCCCTGTATAAAGTCTAGATTGCAAAATTGATAAACAATATAAAAACAGCAGAAAGGTTTAAATCAAAACAAAAATTCTCTAATTCACAGGAATTTATTTTAAAAAATCACAATAAAAATGTATAAAAAAGTATATATAAAAATGGAATGTATAAAATTGCACAGTCAAAATAAAATAAAAAAAGTATGGAATACTTATAAAGTTAAGTACGGAATGTTACAGTACAAAATAAATTTCACATCACAATATTTTCTTCACAACTCTCTACAAATTTTTAGTTTGAAATTAAAACAATAATCATTATGTATTACAAATTCTATCAAAACTAATTATTTGATACTAATTCAACTTATAACCAGTATTATCTTGGCATTGCATTATTTTACTAAACATATTAAGGAATATAACAATTCATTGAAACAGATCCAGCAGTATCAATAGGAAATAAAGTACCTAAACTTGAGTTTACAAAACTAGCAGATTTAAATTCTCAACATATGAAATGCATATGTACTTAAAAAATCAGTTTTTCTACATTGAGATCTTTTAATAAATATCATTAATATACCTATATTTACAAATTAAGTTCAAAGCTTCAGGCACAGATCTTAAAACATTTTTTACCACAAAAAAATGGATATATAAAGATAAAAGTAATCACTCTAGAAAAAGTCTTAATGTCTTCTCCTTCACTAACTACAGATAATTTAAAGCGCTACTTTAAATACTAAAACTTAAGGAAATACAGGGTTGTTCACCACATACGACACGGAGTATTGTAGCTAAACGATTAGATTTTTGCAAATTGTAAGTTTTGGGTTCGTTGAAGGACTATTAGAGCTACAATTTAAAAATATTTTTACAAGATACAGAGTGTCCCAAATAAATAAAAAATATTAAAGTTGTGTAAAGTTGTGTTTTTTTTTAAATAGAACTCTGTATATTATTACATTTTTAGTTTCTACGATTAAAATAAAGGTAAATTTGATTAAGGTTTATTACACTTAAACCTTACCGTTTTTGAAATATTCTCCATTTTGTAAAATTGCAGTAAAAATTTTAAGGCTTCATTTTTCCAAGGGTATGAAAGTTTTTAATACTAAATATTTACTGAAGTTTATTTATTGATCAGTTATTGTGTTGAAATAATAAAAATAATACTACCTTATACAGACTGTCTAAAAATTTATTTTAAATAATTATTAGCTTTAAACGGCAATAACTTGTTGAATTTAAATGGAACACCCTGTATATTTTATGAGAATCAGATGCACAATTTAATTGTCTATCAAATTGTATTATGCTATTTTTTACCTATCTTTTCAAGTTTCCGTAGAAAATGCATTTTCTTGTAATTTAGAACTTATTTATCAATATACCCATGGAATACTGACATTTTAGATTATTTTTAAAGATGTACCAAATTTTTAAAGAGTACAGATACTAATATTGTCGATATAAATAGCTTATTTCATTAAAAAATAAAAAAAAAACTTAAAAATTAATAATAATTGCCCCAAATACTAAAAAACTGAATTTTGTATGTGTATTAGACAGTATGGTAAAAAGTAACACCTTAAAAATGATATTTCATTTTTTAATAAATGCTTATATATAACAACAGAGACGTTCATTTTCGTAACTTATTATTATATTGATTTCTGATTCAAATCCACATTTATTTAGAATAATTTATTAACGAACACAATTAAGTATGTAATTAATTAAATTAATTAATGGTATACTCTCTCTCTCTTTTATAAAGATTTAAATAGTTTTCTTTTTGCATACAATGGGCTAATATTACTAGCCTGTACATTTTGTACATTTGTTGCTTTAAAAACAATCTAAAATGTTAATATTCCATGGGTATATTGATAAATGAGGTCTTAATTATAAGAAAATGCATTTTCTCCGAAAACTTGAAGGGATAGGTAAAAAATGGTATAATACAATTTGATAGACAATTAAATTGTGCATCTGATTCTCCTAAAATATATAGGGTGTTCCATTTAAATTAAAGAAGTTATTGGCGTTTAAAACTAGAAATTATTTAAAATAAATTTTTAGACACTCTGTATGAGGTAGTATTATTTTTATTATTACAACAGAATAACGGATCAATAAATAAACTTCAGTAAATATTTAGTATTAAAAACTTTGATATCCTTGGAGAAATGAAGCCTTAAAATTTTTACTGCAATTTCACAAAATGGAAAATATTTCAAAAACGGTAAGGTTTAAGTGTAATAAACCTTAATCAAATTTACCTTTATTTTAATCGTGGAAACTGAAAATGTAATAATATACAGGGTGTTCCGTTTAAAAAATATAACTTTGATATTTTTTATTTATTTTGGACACTCTGTATCTTGTAAAAATATTTTTAAATTGTAGCTCTAATAGTCCTTCAACGAATCCAAAACTTACAATTTGTAAAAACCTAATCGTTTAGCTACAATACTCCGTGTCGTATGTGGTGAACAACCCTGTATATTAATCTTAGATCCTAAACACAGTGTACTTATTTCCTTATCTAATATCATATAGGTATAATGGCATATTCCAATGACACTTATGTACAAGTCGGTAAATATTTTGAGAATATCAAATATGAATTTCTGAAATTTGAATGAAGTATTTTGTAATTTAATTTATTTATGGGTCTAACAATTACAAGAGGTAATTTTATTGAGAGATCACTATTTTATTACTTCTGAATACTGATTAGTATCAATATTCACTATGTTATGTTGTGCAAAGGGTGTCTTTTACAATAACTACCTGAAATAGTGTAATCTTTGAAATTTGGAAAGTACATAGTCTTAGCAAAAATATTATTCTCAAACGTTAGATAAAATCCTGTCAAAAATAAGTGGTTGTTTTCGAGTATTCAAGTATTTCACTAACCTATTTACAAGATATCTATTATCTATAAGAAATATTACCTTATTTGTTGAGTGTTTTTAAAATTACTTAAAACTAATGTTTTTAAGCCTTTTTTGCATATATTATGATTGAAGCTACATTGTACATGAACAGGTTTGCTATTAAAATTAGATTTCTTTTAATGACAATGACATTCGCTACTAATAAAAACTCATATTTCTTTCAATGTACAAAATGATTTTGAAATATTTTAAAATACAATGATAATTTGTTCAATCTAGACGTTTCTCTCTCCTTTGCAAAGCTAATTTTAATAGCAGATTGGGTAGAAAAATACAACTATTTTAAACTGATGTCTCTTCATCCTTTTCTTTTATCCTACAAAAAAACAGACCATTTTTAAAATAAGATTTTAAAGTAAATATTAGTCTTACCTTTACCAAATATTGTTATTTGTTAACAGTATATTCCCAACACCATCTAGAATCAATTGTTAGTCAATAAAAAGAAATTATTAAAATATATCGTATGAACAAAAAGTTTTATATCAAGCAAGTTTTGATTTTGAAAGTTAAACAAATCTAATTCAATCCAGTTTTACTATAGTCAGACATATTGATTTTATTGTAAAGTTCTATTTAAGTAATCAGAAGATATTTAAAACAAAAACATTGACGGTATGATTAAGGAATAAACAGTAAATCAAATTCGATATTATTACCCTTTAATTTAAAAAAGCGTCTAAAAATTATGACGTCACACTTAAGCGCATTTGATGGGAAGGCAGCAGAAAGGCATAATTTTGCATCTTATGCTAAATTGACGGTAAAATATTTTATTGTCTATTAAATTCTTTAAAATATTGTGTTCTTCTAATGCAAAGTAACGATGTTTTTACCATCGATGTATTTGAAAAAATAGCGCCATCTATTTTAAATTCGAAATTGACATTACTTGTAAGTTAGTTTAGCGCTCTCCGATGGCACAGTGTGTGGTACTTGCCATAACTGCATAAGTGACGTCAAGAACACCATTATTTCAGAGTGAAAATGTTAGATTTTAATTATTTTTTTTAGAACATAATATTAAGTAGTAAGTATAAATTTGGAGAAAAATAAGAAATAAGGGCATCATACATAGATTAGTCTAGAATCATAGTTAGATAGTTCAAGAGAATAGGCATTTAAATACGAAGTTTTGGCCAAAAACTTGAATTTTTGATGTTACTGTTGCGGACCTCTATGGACTCGGCATAACCTAACTAACTAATATGTCCCTCCCCCATATCACCTTAATATTGCATTAAATAATAAACAACGTAATGATTCATTCGAACGTTCGAGAACAATCGAGTTCCACTGGAATGGAGTACTACATACGAGAACATTCTAAACCTTCTCTATGCACCTAATGACCTAACGTCCTTTGAATAAGAAGACTAAGGAAGGAGCATGATGCTATCCATGTATTCATGCATGGTGGACGGAAAAAGGACTCTAGGGTGGGGATCCTTGACAGTTTTGTTTGACGATTCATTTGACACATTTGAATTTGATTTGAAATTTTGTGGATTTGTCAGTCTTTACGGAGCTTATTTTATGTTATTTATTATTTATTCTAGTACTGATAGTTGTATAAAGGTAGTAAATCTAGATGGAAATTGTGGCAGAACTTAAATTAACAGTGACACTATCGCGATTTATCGAAAAAGACTCTAAAATAGTTGGTTGTGTAGCGTGCGGTAGATCTCGGCAAAAATCGAGTGAAATAATGGAACAACTTTTCGCTAGTAAGTGACTATATATAATATAGATACGTGTAGTAAACAGTAGTAAACCGATCATTTATGAAATTCACTTAAATTAACTAATTATATATTATTTTTTCTTGCATTTTTGCTGTTATTTACTACTTGTCAAAGATTGGATGTCAAAGAATTTATAGATACGTCAATTTGACTTACCTGCTTCAGTAGCGTATCGGATGTTTGTGTTAATAAATAATTATTAAAACTTATCTATTTTTAATATAATAATATGTTTTTATAACAATTTTAATAACTACTAACATTTATTCACAACGTAAAATAAAAAACAAAATTATTGAGTCTACCCCACGTCTACCCTACATCATAGTTTTACATTTTTTAAATAAAATTAGAACGGCACTGATAAACCGGAATTTAAGTCGGCCATATTTGAGTCCCATAGCGGTGGACCTAAGATTTTTGATATGCTCCTTCCTTAGTCTTCTTATTCAAAGCTAACGTCTAACGGATTATTCGAACGACCGGAGCCTGAGGACAGAAATAAATAGACGAGTTCAGTTGCCGCGCTAAATTCAAAATAAATTCTTTCTAGATAAATAGTTATAAATCGTTTGTAAATAGTTCTTTAAGTCTTTTATCATTATTGTTTTTGTTACTTAGTGTAGAATAAATTGTGTTTAAATAAATTGTGACTTTCTATCCACACGGAACCGACGAAAAACGTAACATTACTTTGAAAGATCTAAAAGCGAATTGTAAAAGATTTTTTTTTAAATTTACCCCCGAGAAGGGGTAAAATAAATAAATAAAATTATTTTTTCGAAATTTCAGAGAAACGGTAAGAACTAGAAAAAAAAGTTCAAATAAAAGGGAGCGTTAAATTGTGGAGCGTCAAATTTTACATAGAAATAATCTCTATACTTTTTTTGTTCAAGTCAAAATTAACCGAGATAGGGTGGCTAGAAGCTAGCGGATGATAGTAGAAATTTAGAAAAAATTATAAGTTGCTGAAAAATTCATATATTTAACAATTTTATTCAATTATTTAAGTTAGGAAAATTATAAATTTCAATTAAGATTTTTTTAAATTTACCCAGAGAAGAGGTGAAAAATATAAATAAAGTGTTTTTTTGCATCAATCGCACAGCAAATTTTGCGATTTACTATACACCCTATTAATTATTTATATAATAAAAATTTATTAAAACACCAATAAGAATTATTGTTTATCATCATACACAGCCCACTTAACCATAAAACTTTTTGATCATACTATAATAAACCTATTTTCTACTTAAAGAAACTTATTATAGAACATTATTTAAATAAAAAAGATAGTCGCTTAATAAAAATATTGACTATTCCAAAATGACTATGAAGTCGAGATTAATAAAAACTTCTGAAGTGTTACTACGAAAACTTATACAAACATAACAAAATATATGTTAACGACGTTAAAACACATCTTTAAACTATGATATAATAAACATAAAATTCTATAAATAAATCTGGCAAGAGGGAACTTGTTAGTACAATAAGTAATAATTGATTTAGTTAGTTAGATTATAAAAGTGTCATGTTCTAAGCTGTACTTACGAAGACGGTTCAGGAGGCATTCCAGAATGAATCATTGAAACAGGTGCCATAAGTGGCGACGGTGAACCTCGCATGCTTCCACAAACTGATCCATGAACAGACCCTAAGACTGAACCTAATAAACGATAGATACAATTTTTAACCGGCGCTTAACTTATGTTACTTAATGTAATTACATGCATAGATAAATGCAACAAGTTTAGATTGGAAAGCCCGTAAAAATTTTGGGTCGCAAAATTATTTTGGGTCGCGACCGTTATACGCGATCTGGCGCTGCTATAGCGGTCGCTAAGAACAACGGCAAACAAGAACAGAAGTAATTTTCTCTTGTCAAAGTCAGAATCTTCAAAAATCATAATAATCTTTCAAAATCTAAACCGCTCTCATTAAAGAAATTCCGAAAAGTGTTTATAGCGTCCATTTTCAAAGTAATTATTGCTATCTTGCGAGTTTAATTCAAGTTTTATTTACTCCAACCGGTGATAATTGTGAAAAAGTGGCATTAAAAACTTAAAAAGCTGTGCTGTGAACTGTGAACTGCAAAAACCATCGTGGATCGTGGCATAACGTCGGTTTGCAATGTTTCATAGGTATTTCATACATGCGTCCTTATATAAAATAAAGTTTCTTGTATGCAACACACTGTATTTTATTTATAAAATTAAATGAAAATAATAATAAATTTGAATAAACAATATTTCGCGATATAATTCCGGAAAAAGCCGAACCGCTCCGAAATTTTCAAAAGTTTTGGGTCGCGACCGTTGCAAGAATAGCGCCAAATAGTGTTTACATTGTCCTTATGGGCACTTTCCAATCTAAACTTTTGTTTCATTTATCTATGATTACATGTTTGACCTTTAATGGGAGCAGTAAGTAAAAGACCGTATCATTCATTAAAAAATCACGGTCACAAATATAGAATGAATGTCAATCATGGACTAATGTCATGTACTAGAGGTAGGAGATAGATTGGACACTGATATAAAACAAACAGGTCCGTCATTGAGAGCCACCTGGTGATCGGGAAGAAACTAATGGAGAATTTTGGCATAATTTTAGCGTTTCGTTACTTATTAACGCTAACTAAAACAGTAACGTTGTTCAAGCGCAAAATTTGTTCCTTGTTAAATATAAAATAATAAATATAGACTTTCTTACTACATTTATGTTTTATTAGATCATTAGAAGTGTAACATAGCCAAAACAAATAAAATTTTTGGAATTTGAATATACCGCGTGGAAATTGAAAATCGGACAATTTGGTGAAGGAATCTTATAAATAGTTAGTTTGTTGTGTGTTATAAGTTAGTAATTGTGTATAAAGTGAGAAAATAAATTCGTTAAGTATTTTATCGTGAGTTTAAATAGTGGACCCACGGAATCCGTAACAATACTATATTGCCAACTATGTACTGACTTATTTATGATTAAACTATTTTTAGCCGATCATACCAACAGGTATGGTAGGCTATTAAGATCGGCAAAAAAAGTTTTTTTAATTTCACTCAAAATGAGTTATTTGGATCATAAATGACCTAAATACAAAATATTTTCGTGGTGTCTGTCTGTCTGGCCATCTGTAACACGATAACTCAAAAACCGCTAAACCGATTTTAACCAAATTTGGCACAAAAGTACTGTGGCACCCGAGAATCTGGCTATTAATTTTTGGTGGGAGTGGGGGGTTGGTAAGAGGGTATGGGAGGGGGTTAAAAATTTAAAAAAATCGTAACTCCAAAATTACAGTAACTAGCGAAACGCAGTTTTCAATTTAAGATTATGAATAATATTTGCAACAAAATTTGTAATAACATCAAAATCAGTCAAAGTCACAGTTTTTGAGATAAAAAAAAATTGCTTTTTATTAACATATATTATTTTAGTATGGGCGGATATACGTGCCTCCCGGCGCCAATTTTTTTTATTTGGTTTATAAATTTATTATTTTTAAAATGTCAAAATGTCTTTGATAAAAAAATTTAGTATCTAACAAGAAAATGATAACCATCCTTAAATATTAAAATGCACAAACTAATAAAAACACAAACTATAAATAACTCCCTTTCCGACAGATCAGGAATATCTGAATTAATAATTATTCAAATAATGATTTAAAAATAACTTGACGGATCACCAACATTTTGTCAACTAGGCCATTTTGTCAACTAGACAGTAGTCAACATAGATGCTGTCAGGTCATCTTCATATATAAATTAGAAACCTCTAATTTGTATATTCTATAAAATACCCTGGATGTCAATTCATGATTTAGCCCAACTCTACTCACATCAATAAATTAAGAGTGTAGACAAGGTTTTTCCTTTTACTTCCTCTTCCCTTTAGGAAACTAATATTTACATATATTTATAATTAACTTATTTTATTATATCTCTTTACCTATTCTAGACCCCATTCTGGATCCTACAGTCGATCCATGGTAGTCCAGATTGTTGATATCGTTGGTGACTGGCGACATTATCCGGCTGCCCGGTTGAGATGACGAGATATTATGTGGCATGTAATTGGTATGAACTTGCATGTGGTCTTCTTCGGCTATTAAATACAAAAAAGATTTTGATATATTTTTATCTGCTTCAATATTTTAATATAATATATTCCACGAATACATCAAAAGAGGGATACACTAAACAATTGCAAACAATTGCTTGGAAATGAAGATCGGCGCAATTTTATATGTAAAATTATATGGTAAATTTTTGATTGCCATTTCCAAGCCATCCCGACGCGGATACTAAAATGCCCTATGATTTGGAAATGACGATCGATGATATTCCCCGTATAATTTTACATATCAAATGACAGCAATCTTAATTTCGATCATATTGTAATTATTTCGATCATATTGTATTTCTTTCCATTAAAAACATATTTAGATTAGAAAAATCATGAGGATCTGTTACAATTATCCAGTTGACAAATACTACATAATAACTCATTTTTCATAAGATATGAATGGTCTAAATATGTGCAAGTAAAGGAAAAGGGGACGTATTTGCTAGTAAGTTTTTCATTGCAACTTTTATTTTATATACTACGATGGTCTAATCTACACACAACTTTTTGATTTATTGCAGATCTAGTATGAGTTTTATTTTTAATGAGACAAATGTCATTGATAATTGATCGAAAAAAAAAATGGGCGTCAGAGAAATAAATATCGCTGTCATGTCCAAGCCAACGTAACGCCGCTTTTTTTTTTCATTACTTAACTTTTATTCAATGCCTTGGACCAAATTTTATTATTTATTTAATTGTAATAAGACAAGTCAGCACTAATTATTTACAGTTGACGAATTGTAATGTTCAATAAAAATATAACATAGTCTAACATGCTAATATTAGATTTAACCCTACATCATTATGATCTAGGGATTTAACTCATTTTTAGTAACTAACCTTCCATTATATTATCTATTAAGCAGCAAAAATAAAAGAAAATAAATTTAAATATACCAGATTATACAACTATTATAAAGGAATAAGTTACTACAAAAAAATATCATCATAGTTAAACATTTTACTGAAATAAACACCATATGGTCGAAAAAAACGGCGTCAGAGATGGCTGGGAAAAGATCGCTTTTGTTCGTAAAATTATATGGAAAATGTAATCGATCATCATTTCCAAACCAACTGGACGCCGTTTTTTCGATCATGGGGTATAACAATTCAACGTATTACCGCGATGATTGAATGAAGAGAAAGAATTTCGATAACACCTGTAACGTTCTATAACGGAAATAATGAAGATGTTAAAAAAGTATTGGTTTTAATAGATTTTGATAGTAATCTAATAGAGATACATATATTCATTTTTGATTAATTACACATTTATTTTTTTTAATAAGTACTAAAGAAATACAGGGTGTTTCAAAAAACATTTCCTATTTTTTGTCAAATATTCTTCCTTTTTAGATTGATTAAAATATGTACGCCACTGACTTTTTTCTTTTCTTAGCAGGATTGTGTTACAACCGTTAAACGCCAAAGGTTGTATCTTGCCATAAAAGTTGTATATTGATATTTTATCCATTTAGACCTCCTTGATGAGATAAACGCTATTTTATTAGTTAAAAAAATTAATAAATTATTTATTTAATCTAATTTATTATTAAAATTTATAACACTGATGTTCAGTGCTACCTAGAGCAAATTCAAAAAAATAATGGTGTTTCACATGTTTTTTTTTAGAAAATCGTTCCAGTGATAACTCATATGCATGACCCTGGTGAATCATTTACTGTAACTTTTATGCACAAAATTTCATTTAAATCGTTAAAAGCACTTGGAAATCACACGCACTTTTTTGTTAAAATTAAATAAAACTGAACAAAAAACGTTTGTCCGATCTTTGCATATTAAAAGAACAATTTAAACACATAAACCTACCTGTATATGGAAACAAGTATTTATCATTCATGTGATGTTTTTCATCTAAATCTGAACACCTGTCGTATTCCTGATAGTTTACATTCTCATGAGGTATCATCTTAGGCACATAATCTCCTTTGAAAGGGACGTTGGTGTTGTACTGGTTATTGTAGTGGGATTGCACAATGTACTGTTCAGATTCTATCGTTCTTAAACAGGTTTCCGGAGTAACGTCTGGATTGGGCAATGGGTTCGGGGAATTTTTGTGTAGAAATTCGTTGTCTGATCCTGTTTCGGCCGACCAGCGGCCGACTTCTGTTACTGAAATAAAACAAAATATTATTAGTTTTTTTATAAACTTAAATTTTATACATTATTATACACAACAGGAGCGTATACAATAAAACAGTGGTAACGCAATGAGCCCAAGGCCTCCGAGTGAGGGATCAAACAGGATCCCAAACCCCAGCAACCTAACCTAACCTAACATGTAAAGGTAAAAAATAAAACATTGATAGCAATTGGTAGTCCGAAATGTATTCGGGAAACATCGGCAGTATATTCTGCAGATAAAAATAAGTAAAATAGTGAAAATGGTTCTAAAATGGCTTCGTTTCGGAGATACATGGCCTAGAAGTTAATTTCTGAATTGACGTCGATATTTGGATGAAAACTTGGAGTGTTTTTAATTTTTAAATTAATCATAAATTTTTCTAAAAAAAAATGATAATACATAATATAAACTGTCCAATATATAATATAAAACAAACTGTCCAATCAACATGTTTAATTTTTATCAATGATGCTATGTATTTATTATGTTGATTCCAAATATCTTGAGAACCATTACTTGTACCTAGAGACCTTTTTTTACGTAAAATACGACGGATTGTTAATTTTTTCACTCAATAGTGCAATACAGGTAATTTTTTTCGATCATAGGGTATTTAATAACCAATTTTTTATTATTTTTGGCATTTGCTTAGAATGAGTTAACGATTTGTAGGTTAAATCTACTCTTACCATTTGTGTTAGGAAGATATGCCTCGGGAAGTTGACTGGACCATCTAGATCCGTAACTCGGTTGTACGGCCGGAAACAACTGTGAGTTAGTTACAACGTTCAGAGATGGCGGTGTGCCACAACGTGAGACTACATGTTCCGTAATATTCGGTAAATATCCTTGCCTAGAAAATTATTAATTATTATTAATTTAACGTTTTTAACCATTAATTAAGCATTTCGGTTAACCTTGAAACGTGACTTCTTCCGTGATGTCTTCGCGCACTTGATTCATCGTCATCGCTGGAATGACTTGAAGCCAGATCCAGGCTCCTACCTTCAGATCCATCACTATCAGAATCACTTTCTCCTCGTTCTCTACCTGTAAAGATTAATAGATACAAGTTAGTGATTTTATAAATGTAAGAGGGTGAGTCAACGATGGCATAGAGTCCATTATCACATTTGTTCCCAAGTTTACAAACAAATGTTAAAAATAAAAGTTATAGGGAAGGTTAAGATACATATTTTAAAATTATTACAGAGTATACAGGGTGCTTCAAAAAAGTATGGCGGATATAACATATGTTTTTTTAAACGCAATGCCCCATTTTTTATTTTATTTTTAGATTTCGAAACTTCGTGCTACTAAAATTTGACTACTAAAATTTTGCATGAGAGTTTGTTGAAATAACGGGGCATCGGTACTATCAATATACCTAATTTTCCCCAAGTTAAGACAACCAGACCTCAATTTAAGTACCTTTTTTAACTGTTAATATTAATTTTCTTGTATTACCAATTAGCGATTTTTTAGTATCATATTGTTACGGATTCCGTGGGTCCACTATTTAAACTCACGATAAAATACTTAACGAATTTATTTGTCTCACTCTGTACACACAACTTATACTATTTACAACACAATTTATGCAACTACTATTACTCTAACGGTATTTCGCGGTATTATCAAACTTCAGACTTCAGACTATCTTCAGACTGCTCCATCTAGCGGTATTGATCATTGTCTTTTTATTCTGCTCTGCCTTCAGCCTTTAGCTAAATGCTAAAGACTCAAGCCTTTCATAAAGACTTAGATCTTTTTAATGATTCTCTCTTTTCTAAAAAGAATTAAATCTTTCCCTATTACAGAATAAAGATTTAAATCACAAATCATTTTGAAAAAGATTTAAATTTTAAGTCTTAAGTCAGCTTTCAAAAAATGACTTAAAATCAAATGACTTAAGTCATTAAAATTATTTAAATACAAATACTTTTTTTTAAATAAAAAAGTTTTCTGTGAGCTTGCAGCTCTGGTAGGGGTTGGGGTAGTTTTCACCCTTCCTGTACTTTTTCTTGATTTTTGTCACAGTCGGATGTTAAAGCGTTAACTAAACATAGGCAGCCCAAATCTCATTCAAACCAGAATATCGGTTCATAAAATATCTTAAAAAATTTGTTTATTTTTGTTTGAAGCCCTCTAACGGACAAACGAAGCACTTAGAAGTAAATCGTGCCTAATAAATTTATTTTGATTCCAAAAATAGTACACACACAGTAGTTCTATGTCCACGGAATATTGAGACACCCTGTTTAATTAAAATATGGTATACTAATAGATTAATAGCGTACCTTCTCTGTATTCTCCATCACCGCTGATGTCTCTTCGGCGTGGTCTTCTTTCTTCCTGTTCAAACCCTCTGAGATAAGAAGGCACATCGCTATTCGAATTGTAGTTTGATGTCGACGTTGAAGTATGGCGTAGGTGAGTGTCACTTCTACAAAGAAAATGAAATTTTCTTAAAATTAAGTACTAATAAGGTATGAACTAAATGAAATTCAAACTTGATATACTTATTGTAGTATATTTTTTATATAATGCACCTAACTGAAACTTTTTACTGCAATACATTTTCAAATCTTTCAATCGTCCAGAATTATTATACATGTCGTATATATAATCTGGTCAGCTAACACGTGTGTAATGATAAAATAAATATGAGAAATGCTAACTTACCGATATGGACTAGAACCTGTTTTTGTCGTTGATCTGGATGTAGTACTAGAAGTAGATATTCCTATGTTTCGTCTGTTTGGGTCCAAACTTGAGTGGTACGCCAAAGCAGAACGCTAAAACATTAATATGATAAAAATGCCTACAAATAATTATAATAAGCTTACAGAATGAGTTGTTATATTTTGGCTACTGGTACTTGGCACTCCAACAACAGACTGAGTATCTAATAACGGCACTTTCTTGCCCATACAGCGCATAAACGTTCTTAAAAGATTCTGACGCACTCTATTATTGGCGAAACAATATCCCGCCAACGAAAAAGCTGCGTGTATCAGGACAGCAAAGGATAGAGCAGGCATAAGTAATGGATGACGTTCAGATGCTCCTAACAATGCCAACACCCAGGTTGCACCTAGCAAAGGCAACGCTATAACTGAAACCCATAGCAGGGTTCTCAGATTTCCAAAACCGAGAACGTGGTCTTGTAGCGTAAAAGCTGCTCGAATCGATAACACTAAGATAACCAAGTTGATAAAAGTGAGTAGGCAGATTGGACCAACTAAACTCCATATAACACTTTCATAGAGAGATACCCAACAGCTGAAAAATTAGTAAAATTAATTGGTTTGTCTAAAAATATTCATAAAAATCTTACAAGTAATAATTTCCATACTGATGTGCTCTGACACCTACGGACAGAGCCACGACTATTGCAGGTCCCACATAACCAATACTGTAATAAAACTTCATTGGTCCATGGTTAATGTCTCTCATTTCTGTCAGCATCCTATACAAATGCACTGCATCTACCAACATCCACGAGAACGAGGCTAGCCATAAATAATGTAAACCGATAGCAACTAATTTGCATGAAAACTGAAAAAAAACGATAATAAAATGTATTTTAATGTTTAAAGCTTCATTCAGAACCTTGAAATTAGTGGTTTCGATTATACTTTTTAGTTAAAAATTTACGATTATTCAGAATCTAAAAAAATACAACTAAAAGTAATAGAATATCGTAGCAACAGCTTGCGGTGGTTAGTTGTATCCACAGAGAAAGCCTAATAAAAAAATTAGCTTATAAAAAAATAAACTTTTTATTTTTAGCCACAATTTGTCTTGACGGAAGATAATCAAATGCCAAAATGATATTACTCGCATATTTTGAAGAATAAAGCCTGAATAATTAAGCCTGATCTTCATGCATCCGTTATCCGACGATACGATGATACGATATTAATTTTATGGGTTGGATTTAAAGACTTCGATTGGTTAGAAAATTACACTTTTTAAATTTATAGCATTTTCATACCTCCGTTTACGATTGCTTGTGATTGGTGTAATTTTATATTTTCATATCCATAACGATTTCGCTGTTTTACTTATATTTTTATTAAGCTTAGATTAAATATGCCAAAAAAGTGTCAAAACGTCCGTTATCGTACGAAAAGTTAAATTTATTTTAACTTTCTCCGTTGACGTTTGGAGTACAAAATTTAAGGACGAAAAGTGGCGCGAAAAAGCTATAACCGATCAGAGCGCCGTCGGACCATTATATCAACGGATAGCGGATGCATGAGCAGCTTTAAACTTGATTTTCATGCATCCGTTAAGCTTGATTTTCATGCATCCGTTGTCCGACGATACGTTGATACGATATTAATTTCATTGGTAGAATTTAAAGACTTTGATTGGTTAGAAAATAACGCAGTTTTAAATTTATTGCATTTTCATGCCTCCGTTTATCGGATATACAGTGGTGGCCAAAAGTATGGAAACTTTTTTAATTTGTCATTTATGCTGAGAAATTAAAATATGAAATAAAACGACTTATATAATCGTGACCTACAAATAATTTCCTACAAAACCTAATACATTTAAATAAGAAGAATGTTTATTAAAATTCAAGATAATATAAAAATTACTAATATTTAGTGGAATATCCCTTTGAATTAATTACTTCTCTACATCTTCGTGGCATCGAATCGATCAATCTCCTACAATCTTTACTGGAAATGGCCGCCCATTCAGTTTTTAGCACTTCCCATAATTCATTTTTATTTGAAATATAATGGCTTCGAATTTTCCTATCCAAATGGTCCCATAAATTTTCTATGGCGTTAAGATCCGGAGACTGTGAGGGCCAATCCATTAGTGGAACATTATGTTCATTTAACCAATTTTGAACAAACTGAGATTTGTGCTTGGGATCATTGTCTTGCTGGAACAACCATCTGAGTGGCATTTCTTCATCAGCATGAGGCAGCATATTATTATCCAATATGTCTTTGTACAAAAAACGGTCCATTATCCAACCTGAGCGAGAGGACCAACACCTGAGCGAGAAAAACACCCCCACACCATTATACTCCCACCCCCATGTTTTACTGTGAGCATCTGGTACTTATGGCTGTACCGTGTACCTTTTGGTCTTCGGATATAACGTCTCCCGTCACCACCAAACAGTTGAAACTTGCTTTCGTCGCTAAACAGTACATTCCATTTCTGATAAGACCAGGTGAGATGATCTTGAGCAAATTTAAAGCGGGCCATCCTATTTTTCTTTGATATTAGTGGTTTCTTCACCGCGACTCTTCCAAAAAGTCCCATGTCATCCAACCTTCTTCTCACCATGCGTGCAGACACCGATATCCCCTTTCACCCATTTCTCGAGAAATGTCTGTGGATGTTTTTCTTGGATCTCCCATTGATATTCTCTTCATTACTTTCATTGTCCTGTTGCACAACTTTCTTGGTCTTCCTGACTTAAAAGCTGTTGAAACGTTCCCTGTTTTATTAAATTTACGAATTATTTTCGAAACGGTGCTTCTTAAAATGTTTAAATTTTTACTTATTTGAATTTGTTTATAACCGCTCTTGTATAATTCAACTATTTTATTTTTTAAATCCGTAGAGAAATATTTAGACTTGGGCATGATGTTTATATTTATCTGAAGTAAGTCGTACCGTTTATCAGCTTAAACTAAATAATTTTAATGTATTTATTTATGGTTTCCATACTTTTAGCCACAAGAAATCTATTGTTCTCCTACAAAAACTGCTAAACAGATTTTTTTCGCTGTGTAATTTTTGGAATACTTTTATTTGCTGATAAGCTGTTCGTTTATATTCCTGAGAGTTTAAGCATAGCAATATTTTCTGTGATATTTTAAAAAGTAAAAAGTTTCCATACTTTTGGCCACCACTGTACGTTGGTGTTATTTTATATTTTCGTTTCCATAACGATTTTGCTATTTTACTTATATTTTTATTAAGGTTAGATTAAATTTGTCAAAAAAGTGTCAAAACGTCCGTTATCGTATGAACGGGTCCGTTGACGCGTTGAAGTAAAATATTTACGGATGAAAAGTGGCGCGAAAACGCTATGACCAATCAGAGCACCGTCGGACCATCGTATCAACGTATAACGGATGCATGAAAATCAAGCTTTTTCGTTAATACGATGGTCCGACGGCCCTCTGATTGGCCATAGCGGTTTCGCGCCACTTTTCATGCGTAATTTTTTTTATTCCAGCCGTTTTGACACTTTTGACAAATTTAATCTAACCTTAATAAAAATATAAGTATAACAGCAAAATCATTATGGAACTGAAAATATAAAATTACACCAATCACAAGCAATTCGTATATCCGATAAACGGAGACATGAAAAGCCAATAAATACAGGGTGGCGCCCCTCATACGACCCGGAGGCTCCAAGGAGAACGACAGTATTGAAATTAAATTTAGTGAACATATGTAGATTAATTCAGAGCATTTTTTAAAAATATATAAAGTTCTATAGGGTGTCCCCAAAAAAAGTTACATATCAAGTTGTTAATGGAACAACATATATAGTAACTGATTATTGGATTACAAGAGAAAAATAAAGGTGAGTATTATTAGGGAAGTATATGACTGAAATGTAAAGTTTTTGACTTGTTTAACATTTTCTAAAAATGAAGAACAATTTTTAAATTTCAATAAAAGCTACCTAAATTGAAATTTACCAGGTATAGCCTAATATATAGTTAAAATAACTATTGTACTATAAATCAAATTAAAACCTGACCCAAAAAGTTATACAGGGTGAGGCACCCACATCACAACCTTTAAACGCAAGTTACTCCTTTAATTTAAATGGAACACCCAGTATATTATTCCAATATTTAATAGAAAATTCAAGTCTCTTCAAAATACTATTAAGGTTGCCTACACCTCAAACAACGATTTTCCAAGATACTTTCATTTTTATGATTTAGTGTGAGTAAATCTTTATTATTTGATAAAATCTTTGTTTTTTATGGAGCGGAAAATCTTCAAAAGATACCCGATGTTGGATGGTCGTGGGCCGTGTCTAGTTTGATAAAATCTAGGTGGTTGTGATCTGTGATATGTCTGACGTTACTTTAACATAGCTGTCTAATTAGTTCAACTTTAGCAGCTAGTTATCATTTTGTGTTATCATTATGTGAGGTTTTTGTGTTTTAAGATAAAACAAAAAAAATAAGAAATTTTACGAAAATGAAAACTTATCCTACATTAGAGAGAATTAATATGATTCTATTAGTTGGTGAATGAAGTGTGCATTCACCAGTTAAGTAATAAAATTTTTAAATGCTCCTGATTTTATCTAGTCTGGTTTTTTTATGAGGATATTAAAGACAGTGTTTACAAAACTCGACCAAATATTGTCGACCACATATTGTTGTTGTTTTTCGAAATAGAATTCCACGTATGCGTTTTAACATGAAAAGATCTTTTGAAAAGAGAATTATTTTATATCAGTAAACAGAAAAGGAAGCATTTTAAGCAGTTGATTTCATCTAGTTAATTTTTGTTACATAATTATAGGTTTATATGTAGTTTTAATTCTGTGATAAGCAAAATATGTTTTAACTATTTTATTATCTTTTATTACAGTATTTTACCCTATATCCTTTAATTTTTGTTAAATTAACACAGTCATTTAGATTTTTTTTCAAATAGTAAAGATCTACTGACGCAAAATCATAGAAATGAAAAAATCTAGGGAAATCCTTGTTTGAGGGGTAGGCAACCTTAATAATATTTTGAAGATATATAAGTAGTGATGAGTGAAATATCGGTAACTGTGACTTTGTCACTGATATTCTATAATCACAGTCACGGCCTGTGACTGATTTGAAAATAAACGGTGACTTGCTAAAGCGTGACGATTACAGTTAATTGTGATTTCTCTGGTAACGAGAAAATACTTCACAGAGCAGGACGTCGCGCGTCGCGAACGCAGCTGCCGATGGCGCCGGTTGTGACTCAGTTCACAGTCACGAGTCACGACGTACGTCTCATAGGATAGATATCTGACAAAGTGATCTAAAGACAGTGACTGTTAGAAGTGATTTAATTTTTTATGTATTTTATATTTTATTACTATTTTTTATCACTACGAATCGGTTTGGTTCCTTTTTAGTTTAGCAGGTTTTTTAAAGCCAAACATAAAGTTTTACCTTTATACTGTTTATTTTTTAGAAACTTCATTTTTTTATATATTTCGTTTATTTTAATACAAAGGAAAATATTTGTTGTTTAATGTATTACTTATCTCGTGTTGTTAA